TCATCATTATGAATGGAAAACAGTGTGTTCAGTTCAAAAATAAACAAATAAACACCACATCCATCTGAATGTGCTTCATCTGATTCTCTGTTTTTCATGTCATGGATGTTGTTGAACATCACTCTGACACACTAATAAAATATTTTTGACAAAGCAGCAGTTTAATTAGAGTCATTATAGACATCTGGTTTTATCTTCAAGACCATAACACTGTTTTCAAACAAGTTTTCATACTGTAGTTCATAAAACATTTACTCACGTATGTAGAATCACTGTCTGTACTTTGTGGTTCTTGTTGCCCTGAGGGATTGGGGCCGGACAAAAAATCATACTCAGTAGAAAAAACATAAACAATTTGAACTGCAAAGGGAAGGGAGAAAGTCATTTACCTTTTCTGCGTTTATAAAGCATGAAGCCTACTGCTGCTACTACTCCTGTAATCACGATGGCTGCAATCACTCCTCCTAAAATAGCTCCTGAATTACCTGAAGCTGAAAGAATCAGAAAACGTCATTTGGCTCCAACCTCTCTCTTAAGAATAGAGTCCAGCATCACATGTGACACAGTTGATGGACCTGAAACCAGTAAGTGCGGCAACATCACTATGCTGACTGCTTCCAGATACACGCTCCCAAGTGTGATCCAAAAAATATTTATTCAAATCATTGTCTCGCTCGCTCCTCATTCTATTGGACTTTTTGAAGTCAAGACTGTCATCAGCCCCTCTGCAATGAGGCTCAAGCTACCACGATCAGTGCGCATCCATCCTATTTCATGTCTTGAAGGTGAAACTTGTCCCCTCAAATCCAATGTCTCCGACGAAAGCTACTGGGTTCACAGTCGGCTCTGTAAGCAGGAAGCCTTTGAGGGGAGGGTGATGATTGTCATGATTCGAGTGTTCAGTGTTTTTCCATCTTGGGTCTGTTTCTCTTGTGTTCGCCCTTTGGGGCAGAGCCCTGGTTCCACACCTGCATCTCTCAAAACAAAACAAAACAAAACAAAACAAAACAAAACAAAACAAAACAAAACAAAACAAAACAAAACAAAACAAAACAAAACAAAACAAAACAAAACAGAGAAATTTCTTGAATAAATATATATATTTTGTTTTTTACCCTTTATCTTTAGGTTAATAAATGATTCTTGGTTTCCTCCGTCAGTGCTGGTGTAGCACTTGTATCTGCCTTCATCCTGAACCTCCACCTTTTTCAGCTGCAGTGAGGCGTTTCCTGCAGCGATCTGGTCATTGAATAGTGACGTCCTGCCTCTGAAGCGCTCACTCTGGAGTTTGAGCTGGTCTTGGTTATTGTAGAATGAGTGGACATTAAGGTCTCCTGCTGATACCTGAGGCCAGTGGATGACTACATCACTGCCACTATAGCTGCACCGTAACATGCAGCTTTCCATGAAAATGCAGGACACTTCAGTATCTGCAACAACAGGTAGAGACACATCATCAGCGTTTAGCCCTCTGATGTTGCAGAATTAAAAACTTTTATCTCTTAATAAAGCCTTTTAACATTTTTCTGCTCCAGTTCAGGAAAATTTAACCCAAATATGCAGCACCGGTGTGGCAACTTTGATTAAATGATTTCCTGATATTCATCAAATGTCATCTTTTTCTGTGCTGTGCAGAGAACTTAAAAACATTAATGACACAATTTTCAAAGCAGGCATGACAACTGTTTTTGATAAATATATACTGCATCTTGCTTTATTTGACCCTTAGCTAAGTTATTTCATTTATTCATCAAGTTTTTTTATGTTTGTAAAAGATCGGATTAGGCTGAAAACGTAAACATTTCCAGTTTTCTAGTATTTATTGAGTATTGAAGTATAAGTAAAGTGAAACACAGACTGTTTCACATTGTCATGAATCTGCAGTTTTGTGTTAGTATATTTGAGTTCCTGTTTAGGTTTCCATTTATTCTTTGTAGGGTGAATTTTAATCCCTGCTGCAGGTCTTATTATTTTTTTAATGTTAAATCACAGTTTTATTGCATTATGCGGGTTCTAGCTGTTGATTATCTATAGAGTTTAAATGTTTTAAAACTCCAGTCCTAGTTTTGCACCCTCGGTCTTTATTCAACATAATTTAGAAAAACATGAATTGGTCATATGTGCATGTTTTCCAGCCTTTAACATTATAATAAATTAAATCATTTAGATTAATTCACGAAAGGAAACAGAAAAAAAGCTATGAGATGAGAAAAATAACACAGGCGACAAAATAAAATGTGTTTTGTTGCTTTTGTGTTCATAGGTTTAAAATCTCAAACACTGACAGCTACAAACTCTATTTCCTGCTCTTTACACTCTGGATTACTTAAAGAATATGTCATGGGCCTGGGTGACCCAGAGATCACGTGTTATTTTTGAGTTTAATGAATATTAAGAGTTTTATTCGTCTTTCTTAATCCTTTATGGTTGTTTGTGGTGTGATCTGCCCCTGGTCCCTCATTTCACCGTGTGTGGTTGTGTCAGTTTTGCTGCCCCACCAGGCCTGGAGAGTCCCTGCCTTGGAGCCACCCACACCTGGGATAATCACTCACTTGTTGCTGATCTGCTTAATCAAGGAGCTCTACTTAAGAGAGCAGTGGAGCAGCAGTCAGTGTGGGATTGTTAAACTTGGAATTCAGTTAGTGCTCAGCGCATATAGTCGCATTGGAATGGTTAATGTGTTTTGTCGGCCGGTGGATAGGACGGTACTCATTATGGCATCTCTTGTTTTCAGGGTGATTACAGAAACGTGTGGAGGGAGCAGCACACTGTTAAACACATGCACCGAGGAGGACTAAACATTACCACGCATCACAGAGAGGAATCACGGCATGGGGAATTGGGAGAGCACAAACCGGATTGTTGGCACTGTTGTTCTGTTTTTTCTGTGAAAAAAAAACACACTTTCTCCATTGTAAAAGTCCAACATTTGGGTTCTCCTTCAGCCAATATGTTTCACTGACCTGTCAGTGAGCACAAACTCACTGCCTACATCCAAACACAGTTTAAACCACCTTCCCATTTTATAGATCTCATAGTTTGGATACTACGAGTATAGTTTGTGAAATTCCCACCTCCACTCCCACACGCTGAATGTTTTCAGTGTTATTCAGTCCGTTTCCAATAATTACATTTCCTGGAAGTTTGGGCATTTTTTTTCAATGAGAGATAGGAAGTAAGAAACATGCAGTAAACATGTTTTATTAAATGGCATTATTTATATATCTATATATATCTATAGATAGATAGATATAAATCCACAGACCAGGCCCTACTACCTTTCTTTTTGCTGTTTATTAATAAACATATGTTCATATGTTACAGGACATTTAACCTGACTTGAAATTGTTTTTGTACCTTGTTATTTATATTACACTTTTCCTTTAACTATAAACTTCACACAGCTACACTGAGGGTTTGATAATTATATATTTTGCCTTTGTGTATGTTTAATGAAATCCTTACTGCTGACACTTTGAACAAACTCACTATTGTGCAGTCAAACATTGTTTAAACCATAGTCCTGCTTCACTGAATAATGACGATAAATAATAAAGAGAAAGAACATGGTTTGTCTACACACCTTTCTGAGATTTACATCTGAGAGTTTTGCCCTAAGAGCTTTTAAGTTTGACTCAGAGTCTCTGTCTTTATTACATTTCCTCCTTTATTTGGCTTTCTAAACAACATGACATTGATTTGCATTTATACTAGAATAACGTAATAGGTGTAGAGAACATCTCACTCACCTCCTCTTGCATGAGTCCACTGGAAAATCAGGACCATCAAAAACACGACACATTTGATCCCAGCCAGCATCCTGCTCATTTTCATGCTACACTACCTGAGTGTTCAAACAGAGTGAACAGCGATGGTGAAATCTGACCCAGCTGGTTCTGTTGCTTACGCCAGCGTAGCGTGTTCAATGTGAAAAACAACACACCCTTCATCTAAATACATTTTTGTGACATAATAAGGTAAAGTTAATCAACACCTGCTCACAGTGTTCATGTAATTAAACTGTTCAAAGAGGTCGGCTGCCCAAAAAATGGTTGGGTGAATAAGAATAAAAAGAACCACAAAAAAGGAAATGTTTCTATAACATTTCACAGACACTGTCTAAGGCTTGGCGAGTGTTTGGCAGAATGTCATTCATATTGGCGTTGCTGTTAGCCTTGGCCTGGGTTCTCCTGACCAGGTGCTGAAGAGGTAAAGCTATAGAAATGCCCTTTTCGGTATAATGTGGAGCATGTTACTGACTCAGTATAATGTCTAACCTGTAGGATAAAAATCCCATGTTAGATTCCCCTGGTCTGACTGCAGTGCTGTAAAGCAGACACTGTATACTAAGCAAGGTCATTTCTGCAGGTGTGATACAGGAGGAAGAGAATTCCCTCTGAGGTTGTTTTATTCTTTTATGGAAAATATTCAGGCCATGATTTAGATGTTATGTTGTACTGTAAGATTATTTTTCTCAATATGTAAAAAAGTGTCACTTCAGCACCCCCTGCTGGAGAAAAAAGGTAACAGCGATTTATTGTTAGACATTATTAATTTTTAAAAATGAACTAAAACTCAAGAAAATAAACCAGTAAGTAGTGAAGAAGAAGAATCCATTTAAATGCTTTTCATACTTTTCTATTTTGAAGCATCACAGAAATCTGATGTCAACTGAAATGCTGTGCTCAAACGAAACCAACATTTCTCCCGTGGAGATCTTCAGAACATCAGTGGATTTACCCTGTTCAGCTCCATAAATACACGGTTTTAATTTGAACCACTAAACTTTACATTTCAGCTAAAATAAATTAGCTGAAGAAAAACAACAACAATCATTATTATTATTGTTGTTGTTGTGTCTAACTGTATTAAATACCTCTGAATAGCATTCAGTCCAAATAGCTCTATATCAAAGAAGGGAGGATGGTAATTAATTACAACAGAACTGTGTCACATTTAATTTTACTTATTTTTGGCTTAAAATGCTAATTAGTACTAAGACCATAATTACTGCCTACATAGCCTGCTCCCACACTCCAGGAGGAGCCAGAGAACACGGAAATAATGAAACGAAAGCATTATGAGAAACGATGTAAAGAAAGACATGTAAAGAAAAACTGTACAGCTGGTTGTACAACAAGAACTGCTGCCTGATGTTTGCCACCTAGTTTTCTAAGGAACATGTAGCTCTCGCTACGCAAGTATGCAGGAATGTTGCCATGATGCCAGGTCTCTCTTGTAAATGAGATTTTTAATCTCAATGAGATTTTTACCTGGATAAATAAAGGATTAATAAAAAAAAAGTTTCCACCTTAGTGCCCACGCCAACTGAACCGAGAGGTTTCCTGGTTTGTTTTTCTTAGATGTAAACCACATAACTGTGAAGAGATCATTGCAATTACAGTTTTCCCCAATTGTTTACACACATTTTCTAAAAGCATGCCTCATATTGTCATATTGCAAGAGTTGCAACGGCAACTACTAGCCTACAGTAACAGTAGGGTTGGGTTTAACTCCTTATCCTGCTTCCCTCGTTGTCATTCCATGAACAAGGACATGGTGTGCAATAGTTGCCTGAATTTCATCAGTAATGACTTCTCTTGGTCGTCCTCCCCCCTCAAACGGACTTTTATCCTGTTCAGTTGGTCTGATTAAATCATTAGAAACACGCGTGTTCAATTGTTCGTTGCTGTGTGTAAAAGATGACAGCTGTTATACAAGTGTTAAATGTGTTTATTGACTGAGCATGTGTTTAAGGTTTTGAAAAAAAGAGTATGAGTTTTGCAATTTATGCCTAAGACCCTGAACAGTGTCTAAGGTTTGGACAAAAGAAGATTTTATTCAACTACTAAGTTTAGGCCACTGAGAATTTGGTTTAGAGAATGAAGTTTAGTCTTTTCGGAAGTCAGTAATGCCTCACTCACCTCTTCTCATCCACTAGGAAGTAACAAAGCTCATCTAATTTAACCTGCCTTCACCTAGATGTTTGAATAACTTTGGTCAGACAAGCTTTAAAAAAGTTAAAGATCTATGGTTATATCTTAGTTTGAAAAATCTTAACTAATCGTCATCACAGCTGTGTTAGTATAAGAAGGTTCTAATATAATCAGTGGTGTTCAAAAAAGTAAAGGCCACTGATAGGAAGCCTGTAACCTACATGAGGTCCTAAATCTCTCTAAATTAATTGTTTTTAATTGTTCTAAACTGCTGTAGTTCCTCCCTTGGTCCAATAAACTACATTTTGGAGTAAGTCTGTCTTTGTGTGTGTGTCTTCCTGCAGGAACTGCAGAAACCATCTTCAGCTACTAAACATGGACTGAAAAAAATTGTTCTTAATATATTTTAGTCAAGTAGTTTATTTAGTTAAGTTTCTTATGCATTATATACACACATACACACAAAACATTCATTTTCGAGATGGCAGCATTTGAAAAGACACAAAGAAACCTACGAGTTACTAGTTGCTGCTCCTGTTGTGGAAGTTTCCATTTAATAAAGCCTGCAGACAAACGGTGGGTGGTAGCTAACATCCTTTAATCAAAAAAAGATCAAAAAGCCAAGCTTGGTGAGAGAAGCCATCGCTGGGGCAGACAGTCAGCAGTGTCTCTCCCTGAGCCCAGCATGGCCCTGGGTTAAATACCTCCTACAGGAACAAAAAGCAGGACATGGCTGCTTCAGACCATCGGCCTTTCCCCCAAAGAAAGGTTCACACTCCCTTGCTACCTCTCACAGTTGTTGAAGAGACAAAAAGACTCTTCCTGTGGATTTGTCTGCTTCCACCAACAATCACCCGGCTGTTTAATGGCATGAATGTGTGAGACATTGAGCCATACTAAAACCCAGTGGCACCAAGGCATTATACAGTAAAATAATACATGAATAAAAGAAATTCCTCTACACTCCTCAGGTCTTTCTCTCACCCACCTTTTATTTTTAGCTGCCCTCCGAGACACAGCAGGTGAGATCCTGTCCTGGTGACAGTGTATTTTTACTACAATACAGTACAAATCCACCTTAAGATGTTCTGCGTGGTTCTTCCAGCAGCTTGACGGTCTCCCCTCTGTGTTTATTAAATGCCAGATGACTCAAACAACAGCTGCAAACTTGATCATCTCTGAAGTTTGAAATGATGTCTGCTGCACTTAAATTAAACGGTCCCTCATCTCAGCCCATTCAGGACTGAAAATAGTTGGTAGCTGTAAACACTGTGCAGGATGTCAGTTTCAGACATTTACATTTATGTTAAACTGCATAAAACAAATCAATCATATGTAAACACAAATAACAAGAAAAAAAAGTATCTCTCACATCATCTAAAACTGTCTGCAGTGCTTAATATAATTTTTTCGTTCCACAGTAGAAGAACACATGTTGAAAAGCTACCAGCTAGAAGCTAAACTCAAGTTTATCAGCAGTTTTTGACAAACAAATCAAAGCTGCCTCTGTGACTGAGACTCTTCTTCTTTGCAACATTCTTCTTTGTGTTGCACAACCAAAAATCAAAGGTCCAGAAGGAGGCATATCAAAATATTTGGGTTATGACCAAGAATCAGCATAGACGAAAACAGAATTTAAAAAAAAGTGTCCTTGCTCCTCAGTGCACGTATGAGTAACTAAGTAACTCATTTGAATGTCGTTTTCAGCAGGTTTTTCACTTATGAAAGTTTTTGCTTTACTGAGCAGAGATCCAACACTCAGCAGGGTTCAGTGCAGGGCTGAAGCAGAGCTGCTGGGGTCTGCTTGGGGTCTGCCAGATGTTCCGTGGCAGAGCTTCTATTCAGCTCCACCTTAAGTTCAGTGTCACTGTCAAAAAGATGAAAAGAGACCATTTGGAAACATGTCATCATTATGAATAATAAAAAAACATATACAGTCAAAAAAAAAAAAATCACCACATCAATCTGAATGTGCTTCATCTGATTTTCTGTTTTCATGTCATGGATGTTGTTGCTTCAGTCTGACTCATTACTAAATCATTTGGACTCGACAGCAATTTAACTTCATTCATTATAGACATCTGGTTTTATCTCCATGACCATAACACTGTTTTCAAACAAGTCATTTTTTATTTAGTGTAGTTCAAACAAGATTTACTCACGCATGTGTTTTGTTGGTGTTGCTCTGAAGAATCGACTTTAGAAAAAAAAAAAAAACATAATCAGTATAAATAACATGAACAAAATGAACTGCAAAGTGAAGGGAGAAAGTTATTTACCTTTCTGTGCTTATACAGCACGAAGCCTACTGCTGCTACTGCCCCTGTAATCACAATGCCTGCAATCACCCCTGCTACAGTAGCTCCTGAATTACCTGAAACAGAAGAAACAGAATCACTTAAAATGTCTTTTGGCTCAAACCTCATCATGGCTCTGAATGGGATAAGCACCCAGTACCTCTATATCATTATTATTATTATTATTTTTGCTTTATCATCAGAATGTGGTTTAATTAGAATAATATTATTAGAATATAATGAAGTCAGAGTTTTTGTTTAACTGCATAAAACTTGATAAAAACGTGTAAATAACACTAAACTTCATCATTAACCGATTAAGGTCTAAACTGTATGTGAGAACGCTGCATTGCACATGTATGTTAAAGAAAATTGACCCCGTAACACAAATTGCGGTCATAAATATTTTGTACTTTGTAGTTGTGAGTTTTGTAACCTTGTAAACCAAAATATCTGACAATTTTATGTCTGTGCATCTATAGATGAGAATTTGTGTTTGTAAAAATAATTACACAAGTTACAAATTGTTTTTTGTTGAGGTCTGGTTACAGATACAAAGCAAAAAACTACGTGTAAAACTGTAAAAAACTGTAACTTGTGTTTTACAAACACACACAAATTCTCATCAGGACTCAGTACACATTTGATTTACAAGTTCAAAATATTTATGAGCACAATTTGAGCCCATATGTAACACCGATCATATCATGTATCACACTCATACATCATATTTGCTAGATGAGATTTTATGAGTTTTCGAGAGTTCAGAGAGATTTTTTTTCCTGATAAAACTGAATAAATTACACAAAAATAATCAAGATGTAGCCAAAATTATACAATTAATTAATTAATTTTTTTAAATTCCAATTACAAACAATGTGAATTTATTATTCATCTATTTTGTGAATCATGGTTTGCAGAGTTAAAATTGATTTCAACACTGTGTGTGGATTTCCTTCTTGTATGACAAAACATTATCTGATGTCATTTTAGGATTAAGGTGAATTTAACATACAGTACATCATATTACAACATTATTGTCTTCACTGCTTACTTTGTTTAGATGAGGTGGAGGACCAAGTTACACTCCTCTTGCTACGGCGAGTGCTGATGGTGCAGCTGAAGGTCAGATCAGCTTCGCTGTCTGAAGGTGTCACAGAGCTATTGATGTTGTACAGGTGTTGCTCAGTCTCCTGCATCCTGGTGTTGCACTTGCTGTTCACATTGGAGGGAGGACTGGTGGACCAGGTGAGCTCAGGCTCAGGGTAGATCCCCTCTGAGCAACAGGTGAGTGTGTTTCCTTCCCGCTGAATGTCGACTTCATGGACTGGAGCTGCAGAAAAAAGAAAAGAAAGACAGTTTATGTTCACATATCTTTATGGGTTCCTTTTTTTTAGCATTTATAAAGCAAGTACAGTGAAAAAGCTGAAAAGGAGAAATATAGTCAAGTGTTACCAGTGCTCGATTTTTCTACACCGAATGATGTATTTTAACTGAACTTTTTATGAGCAGGACATCTTTGTCATTAAATCAAGTGTTTCATCAAAAGACTAATTGTAGTGCTTTTCTTTATTCTCATACATTTTCTGGACTGCATCAGTAGCTGCATTTTCTTTGCAGGTCTTTTACTTGCAGATATATATTCAAGTTGGTAAAAACTAGATCTAACGCCATGACCTTAAACTTTATTCACAGTCAATACATACATGCATGGTACATGATATTGGTTTTTATTTACATTTTAACTAGAGCTATTTCTGCAAAAAATATCTGAATATAAGTAGAAACATTTATACATACACTTGGAGAAAATGATAAAGATTTTAAAGAAATGTATGTTTTTAATGAATGCATTGTGTGTCACGTACCATCCATTTTTAAATTGATAAATGATTCTTTGACTCCATTTTCAGTGCTGGTGTAGCACTTGTATCTCCCTTCATCCTGAACCTCCACCTTTGTCAGCAGGAGTGAGGCGTTTCCTGAGGAGATCTGGTCGCTGAACAGTGACGTCCTGCCTCTGAAGCGCTGGTTCTGCAGTCCAAGCTGGTCTTTGCCTTCATAGAATGAATGAACAAAACGGTTTCCTGCTGATTGCTGGAACCAGTGGATGATGACTGCAGTGGCTCCCTCAGAGCTGCATGGCAGCATGCAGGTCTCCATGAAAATGCAGGACACATCGGTATCTGCAACAACAGCAAGAGACACATGATCATAAAGTAAGATCTGCAGCTCAAAACATTTTTAGATGCTTTAGAGTGAAAATTGGTGCTGATAAGTAATGTTTTATTGAGAGTGGGATAAGCAAATGTATGTATAGAATTAAATGTCAAACCTAGTAGTCCCCCAGAAATAACATAACCCTTCCTCCACCACCAAATGACTCTGAGCTGACAGGACTACAGCCGTAGTACAGACTACTACTGACCCTGAAAACAATCTTACTATGCCACGTCGACTGGTTTCAATTCCTCATTTGATAATTTCTGAATTATACAAGCCATTGATTGGGGACTCCTTTCTCCTCCCAGCTTGTGTCTTTTTTCCCCCATTAGCTCAGATTTAGTGGGAGGGACAAAGATACAAAGATGGAGTCAAAGAGAAATGTGCAGTGAATGTGCATCACAGGTTCATGGACGAACCAAAGCAAGAAGCAAAAGACAACTATCAAAGTAAAACAGGAAATAGGGAAAGAAAATACTTAAAGGAGGCTCTGATGGATGAATGAGACGACATTCAAGGAAAACTCAGACGGACATTAGAAGGACTTCAGACAAAACTGAGAGCAACACCAGAGACAAATAAACATCAAGACGGAGGCTGAAAACAGAAAAGTATCTAAAACTAAAAATCATCAGGAGCCCAATAAATTTAAACATGAAAATACAGTAAATTACAAAGCAAGAATTGTAAACTGCAGACTGAAGACTTTCCCTGTACCACAGGCTAATGTCTCTGCTCTTTCCAGCTGACTCCAGAAAAACAGTAACTTGGTTTCAGTTAAACAGGTTCTCCAACAATCTTTTAGAGTTCTTAAGAACAGATTTAATTTACAGCAGTGATGCCAAAGTCAGCGCATCATTTTAAATGTGTATGTAGTTTGGTTTCTCTGTATAACCATTTTAGTTATTTTACCAAGTGACCTTTGACCTGATTTATTAAAAATATGAGACGTGTGATAATGTTTTTAGAGTGAGGCATGTAAAGGCAGGGATGTTTTTGTTTGTTTCCTTGTTGGCAGAAGGTTTCGTGTTGAGCCGACACATGGAAACATTGCTTTGTTGTGTTGTCCAAAACTGATCTTAGAAAGATTGTGTCCCTGTGACTCCAGAGGAAAACATCTGTCATGACTGACTCATGTGGCTCTGAGTGAGGCACAGGGACCAAGACCAGCAACCTTAAAATGTGGATCCCAAAGATCGAGCACCATAAATTCTGTCATTTCAGTTCCCATAGGGAATAATTCACAATCATTACTACTGGTTCAAATCCATTGTTTAAATATAAGCAGTATGAGAACGTGTTCATTTCTAAACTTACTGATGTCTCTATTTGAAAAAAATAAAACTTAGACTTCATTTTTTAATCTCCATTTTCTACTGAAAAGCCCATCGATAACTAATTTAATTTCTTTTTGTAACAATAACAGCAAAAATGTAAAGGACGCTCATTTCGAGTCAGAACTCTGAACTTCAATCTAATTAAAGGAACTGTTATTAAAAGATGTTTCTGTAAGAGAGCGTATTCCTCCCTCGACAGACCCAACACCACGGTTCGGATAATGTTTTTCGACTTCTCTAGCGCCTTTAACACAATCCAGCTGAGAGAGAAGTTGGAGGCTATGCAGATGGAGGCTCCACTGGATCAGCAACTACCTGATAGGCAGACCACAGTTTGTGAGGCTGCAGAGTTGTGTGTCAGAGAGTCTGAACAGGAACATAGCAGCACCCCAGGGAACTATTCTGTCCCCTTTCCTCTTTACCATCTATACATTCGACTTCAAGTACATCACATAAACTTGTCAGATGACATGGCCATTATTGGAAGTGTGGAGATGGGAAGGGAAGAGGAGTACAGAGGACTGATTGGTCACTTCGTGAGGTGGTGTGACGTGAACCACCTGAAGCTGAATGTGACCAAAACAAAGGAGCTGGTGGTGGACTTTGGCAGAAACAGATCCTGACCCTCCCCTGTCTGCAGTGGTGGGACCAATGTTGAAATAGTCACATCCTGTAAGCATCTGGGAGTTCAACTGGATCACAAGCTGGAGTGGTCTGCCAACACGGACGCTGCCTACAAAAAGGGACTGAGCCGGCTTTGCTTTCTACTATGGTAAATGGTAAATGGCCTTTGTTTGTATAGTGTTTTTTCTAGTCCCTAAGGACCCCAAAGTGCTTTACACATCCAGCCATCCACCCATTCACACACACATTCACACACTGGTGATGGCCACAGCCACCCTGGGGCACACTGACAGAGGTGAGGCTGCCGGACACTGGCGCCACCGGGCCCACCAGTGGTCAGAGGGCCCAGACCAGGTCTACAAAGGCTCAGATGCTTCAATGTATGCAGCAGGCTGCTCTATATGTTTGATTAGTCTGTTGTTGTGAGCACTCTCTTCTGTGCTGTGGCGTGCTGAGGTGCAGGCATCAAAGCAAAGGATGCAAACAGACTGAACAAACTCATCAGGAAGGTCGAGTTTCTTCTTGGCATAAAGCTGGCCACCATGGAGGAGGTGATCGGTGACAGAATGCTGGCAATCACGGACAATGACTCGCACCCCCTCCATAAAAAACTGGGTAATCTGAAGAGCAGTTTCAGCAACAGGTTCCTCGATGTCTGAGGGAACGTTGCAGGAGGTCTTTCCTTTCTGCTGCCATCAAACTCTTTAAATCATTCACGTGGGTCAGATCCACACATGTGGACCAGAATAATCCCACCTCAATACACCCTGTCACTTTTGGACACCACGACACACATACTTGTCCTTTTATATTAATATATACTGTATGTATATTTATACCTATATTCATCTATTTATCTTTATATTTATTTATCATTACTCTATGAGTGTTTGTTGTTTATTGCATATTTGCTGCTATGACAACTGATTTTCCCTCTGGGATTCATAAAGTTTCTCTGATTCTGAAGTGTGACAGCCAGCCCTGATCTACCGTATATTCTCTATTTTCCTGTCACCAGCAGGTTTTAGATGTAGATACAAACTGATTGTTTAAACCACATTCCCATTTCACTGAGAGTGATAATATTTAATAATAAAGGAAAATAAATCACAAACATTATTTGTCATGATCCTGCTCTGTGACCCAACGTTTTGAGTTTATCATTGGCTATTGTGTTGGCAATTATATTTTCTGCTTAGTTTGTTCCTATTCTTGTCATTTACATTGCCGAGATTTAGTCTTATTTCATGTTTGTTTCTATTATATTATTCTCGGGCTGTGTTCTCAGTTGTCTCCTGCCTTGTAGACTGCTGCCTCAGCACAAATAAAGGTTCATTTTCTATTTCTAAGTTCTGTCTTGGAGACATTTGTTGGTTTCTGGTTATGACACTTCTGCCTCTCCTCACACATTCAGCTTTTTTTGGAGTTTCTCTCGTTGCACTTCCTGGTATTTGTTTTCTCGAGTAGTTTTTTCAGATTAAAACCAGGTGACTTCTGTTTACACTGGAGTAAGGTAGTGTGTGTAGTAAATGGCTAACTCACCTCCTCCGGTTAAAGTCCACGTAAATGTCAGGAGCACCAGAAACACTGCGCAGTTGTTCCCAGCCATGATCCTGTTGTTTTATCCGTTTGCAGGCGCATTAATGTTGAAGGATCTCAAACTCACCCAGCCGGTCTGTCAGGTAGTGCATATTAACGCACTGAGAATGAGGAAAACGCTAATCAAACTTCGCCTGAATGTTCAAGGTCAGCACAGAGACACGCCTTACAATAATTAATATTAACAGTTTGTAACTTCACCTGCACTAACGTGCAGAAGAGGCATCTGCTAATCAACGGCAAACCGAGTTTCCGAGTTACAAACAATAAGAAAAACATTTAGAGACGAGTCCCTCTCTGTCGAGTACTGAGCAGAAATTACTTTCGTTTTTATTGAGGGTTGTACTTTGTATCATATGACGCTCGAAGCCTCACAAGCCGCACTACCACGTGACTGATTCAGGAAATGATCGCAGTAATCCAGAGTGAAATTTCACCCGTATGGAAACATTTTCAGCTGATGTCACCTAATAAAATATGCACATAGTTATAAATGAGTATTAATAGTATTTATATAATTAATATAAAAAACGTGGCAAGACATTTATCCCTTGTTCTAGTTTCTTTCTTCTAATTTCCGGTATATTTAAAGGTGAAGTGTTGTTTTAGCTCAACAGTAACACCTGATCTGACATTACAGAGCCCTCCATGAAAACCAGACCAGCTCAGGTAACATTGTGTGGTATGTTTGTATTAAACAACATTAATTTATATTTTAATTGTGAAATTTGTAACTGATATGGAATTATTTGTGTGTTTGTTTGTTTGTTTTGTAGTCATCAGTGGAGAATAATTCGGTGGATGAGGCCTTGGTTATTGAAAGAAAAAAAAGAAAGCTTGTTAAAGCTCTGAGCACTACTGATGTTCTCGCACAGGACAGGCGTGCATGTGAGCATTTTACCTCATTTCCTCATATTTGCCATTCCAAGACTGGCAAATTATTTCCTTTAGGCTTTGAAAGCTGTAGTGAAGGACAGATACGCTATAATGATTCAAACCCACAGCCACTGTGTCAAAGACATCTGTAGTTAGTTTAACAGCAAATATGTGAACCTCTATCAGCACCACTGCAAGCATTATATGCTTTTTTGTCTTTGCAATATTCTAACTGATGCCGTTTTGTTTAAGTTGCTGCTGCAGTGACACTTGAATAAATCACTTTTTGTTCACTGATTTTATAGGAGACGCTGACACATGTGTTGGAGCAAACAGGTCAGCCGGCTTAAGGATGATTAAAGAGATGGATACACATATTTGAACAGCACATACCATATGCTCCAACATGGTTATGATCCCAGGGAACCTGCAGGAGCACACTGATGTTGTCCCATAAGAACATCTCATCTGAACAGTAAAAAAATATTTTAGAAAGTCTAAAAGTGCTGTCCTCATTTAATGAGGCCACAGTTGAGCCACCAAAAGTCATTCCCCTTTATCATAGCTGCACCATGCACCAGAGGAGGAAGGAAATGGCCACTGTCCATACTCCAGAGAGTCTGAGGTTAAAGGAGAAGCTGTACATTTTACAATAAATGAGCATCATATCACTGGCAGCACTGCTCGATCCCTGCTTTAAAAACACAGTCTTCATTAACTCTGGTAAAGCAGCAGCTGATGAGGAGATGCTCACTTCTAAATGTGCTGTTGTTGTATGAAACAGTGCTGCTTCCTCCTCCTCATCGTCACAACTGCACATATTAGAAGCTTCTCCGTCTGTGCTTCAAAAAGAAATGGACACATTCTAATTATGTTATTGCATTTAGTCACTTACAGCCTGTTTATGTTAGGTAGCAAACTGTGCTGTTGGTTGGACACCACAGTCCTGCAGACGAGGACCAAGCAGCACTGTAGACTCTCTGTGGGCTCCTCCTGTTTGTCTTTTTACATTTTTATTCCTTTTATTATTCAAACTAAGATCAGAGTGGTTATTATGCCGGGTGCTGTGGTGAGGGATAGGTTGGTGAATGAGAGAAGAAGAGCGTCAAACTGCTGCATCTGTAACTAAACACACTCTAACAACAAACGGCACTCAAAACAAACAAACAAACAAAAAAACAGGACAAGGTAAGCAAACTTTTGCTGTTGTGTGTGTCAGAGAGAGAGACATGTGCGAACTTGTAAAAAACTTGCTGGATAACTTAACTTCCTGAACTGAAGAAGCCTCATGGATAAGAGGTGAAACCTAAACAAGTCCAGTCATGCTCCCTGAGACAAATCTCTGCACTCCAGTGTTTTCTAAAGCAGGTGAAATCATCTGAAAAAGAAGAAACCGCCTGAAGCCCAGCACTGTGGAAAAGTTTTTTTTAATGAAATAAAAGTCACTTTTTATAAGTAACATAAGCACAGTCACAAACCCAGTAACACAAACTCATTGCATCCTTTTTTCCTAATCTTCTCTTTTGATCCTGCTATTGTAGCATAAACACACACACAGCATATTTAAAAGGTCAGAATTATTTAGAAGTTCACAAAAATCATTAAGTCATACATTCACACCAAAGCCATGGTGTCATTGTAATCACTCTGCCTGTTTTACATTTATTGTCCACTTGATGGCACCTTAGAGCAAATGAAGCACTGTGAAGCATCAGTGCATGAACGCAACAGGTGAATGGGAAGCTTCAGTGCTTCTTAAGGTTTAAGAGTGCAAAGCAGGTCCTCTCTTGCTCTCTTGCTTCATAGAAAAAGAATCACAACTTGTTGCAGCTCTTTGCAAGCAGCTATGAGGAAATCTCAAACTTTGCCTCTTTAGGATTGCAGCATCGATTACTGCGCATGTTGTAATGTTGATAAGAGGTGGTTTTATCCTCCCCAGTGGACTTCCTGCTCTGCCTGTTTAAATGGCTTAGATAGTAAATTATTATACCCGTTATGTTGTCAATGATTACAGCTGTTGTAATTTAATATTTAAATGAGTAAGTAATAAATCTTATTATGGGTTCGGTTGATGACATTGGTTTGGGTTTTGAATTCAGTGCATGATTTCAGCTTATTTGTGAATTATTTGTTTCAGTTCTCCGTTAGTTGGTATTTATGTTAATGTCAGCTCTTCTCACAGCGGGTGGTGACTCCACCGTGTCTCCACCATCCAAATCTCCCAATTTATCTCCCTTCAGTGTTTTTGTGGATATCATCTTTGATTTGTTTGTTTTTGCTGGTTTTTTGCTATTTTGGACTTTTTTCAGCTTCAATAAAGGTTTACTTTTTGTTCATTGGACTTCTTCTTTCTTCTGTCATTTAGGTCAATATTTGCACGTTATGGGAATAATGGTTGTTTGTTGAAGTTTGACGGGAAGCACATTCTTATATCTCAAATTTTTTAGTTAAATTGAACTTCGATCATTTCATAGCCTCCAAAACAAAATCATATTTACACTTGACTTAAAAAATGTTCCAAATGCAGAATCAGATGAAGTTTTGACAGGACTGTATTTTTTGTTATAAGAAAACTTTTTCTTTAATAAAGGAAATTTGTACTTAAGACTAAAAAATATGTTTAGTAAAGTCAAACTTATTTTACTTTTTTGTTTTAGTAAATACAACCAAATTTGCTATTTAACATCAGGTTATGTGTAGGTGTCACTGTGAGCATGAGAGCCTTCACCAGTCGGTAAGCAGGGTGGGCATTACAATAAACTCAGTATTGATGACTGCATTTACTGCAAGTGCTGTAGTCTCGAATGAGCTCAGTAAGAGTACGAACAACCAAATGGCACTAATGCTTCTAAATGCAAACATTAAAGTTTATAAAGTCACTATATGAAGGTGTAGAGCTCCAAAAGGTGCATTAACAACAAACACCATGTGACAGTCCCTAAAAACGTTAGCAGTAAGAAAAGCAAGTAAGTTTTCAACAAATAATAAAACAGTAAATCATAGTCAGGTCTTAAACATTTAATATTTGTGAATGTTTTTACAAAACACTGAAGACGTGCTGCTTACAACCTCCAGATTTCAAAACTGTGTTTTTTAATAAAACAAAAAAACAAAACAACTAAAACTACTATACAAGTAAACATTTTAATTTATCCATCCATCCATTCGCTTCCGCTTATCCTTTTCAGGGTCGCGGGGGGCGCTGGAGCCTATCCCAGCTGTCATAGGGCGAGAGGTGGGGTACACCCTGGACAGGTCGCCAGTCTGCTGTCGCAGGGCCAACACATAGGGACAGACAACCATTCACTCGCACATTCACTCCTAGTGGTAATTTGGATTATCCAATTAACCTATCCCCACAAGCTGCATGTCTTTGGATGGTGGGAAGAAGCCGCAGTACCCGGAGGGAACCCACGCAAACATGGGGAGAACATGCAAACTCCACACGACCTCGGCCTGATGGTGAATTGAACTCAGGACCTTCTTGCTGTGCGGCAACAGTGCTAACCACCGTGCCACATAATTTATGCGTCATGAAATATAATGAGTGACATTTTCTTTCTGCTTAATTATTTTGTATCATTTTATCAAGTAGATGAGGTAGAGGAGGAACCATACGCTGTAATCTCAACCTCAAAATATCAACGAACTTCACCAACATGTGCAAAGTGAGCATTAGTGTCACTGATGGAAAACAGAAAAGACATCAGAGTGTATCAGCATCATTTAATGATACTGACTCAGGTACATTTAACAGATACATTTAAAAATCATTTAATAAATGGAGAGGTCACGTTGTCTGAGGCCGTGTTTCTACAGGATTCACATTTCTGTGGGTTCTGCCGCTGCCTTTGGTAATAAATCATCTCCCTCATGGTCGTGACTGCAAAATGAAATTATAAAGAATTCTGTCCTGAATTACATTAAGAATAAACAAAAAAGCAAACCAAAGATACGCTGGATTAAAAAGAGCGGGCGAGAGAGAGATTTACCCAGGAGCAATCAGTGTTTTCAGTTCCTCTGAAGTTTTTTCTGTCAGGACCAAATCGAGTTGACTTGATATTTCTGCAGCATCAGGAACCTGCTGAGCCTGATGGGACTGAAGAAGAGTTTGTCATCCAAGAGTTTATATTAGTTCTATAGCAAGTAGTACAGCTATTAAATCATGTACTAAAAAGGGTTTTGTATAAGTTTAATATCATTTTTAAAGGGTTGCATACAATCGTGTGAACGTTTTCCTTTTCATATGACTTTAAACATTTTAAAATACTTCCACTGTGCTGTTACTTTTTTGGCTTTGGACTTGCACATGTTGGGCTAAAGCATAGAAATACATTATTTTAGGATTTTGTTTCATTTTTATAAGAAAAAAAGATCAACGTTGGACTATTTATTTTTAAAAAAAACAGAATATGGTTTAGAATTTAGATTACCATATACAC